AGTTTACAAATCTGTACTAAACATAGTTATCTAAATCTCATTAAGTTCTATGTATATGTAAATTCTACTATAGTGCCCTCTGCAGGACCCTGCTGCTTTAATCAGTCTGGTCCATTTGTTCTACTTTATGTGAGATGTAACAGTTGCACTAATGATATGAGAAATTTATGATATGAGAAATGTAACTGTGTTATCAGATGCAATTTTTAAAGATTAAGTATCTGTTTGAATATGTTTAAAATATAACATGGATTAACTAATTAATAAATATTGAATGGAATAGAGTTAAAAAATGAAAAAATAGGGGATATAAATGAATTTTAGTTTGAGAGAGATATGTTTTTCTTTTTTTCTTTTCTGAGTAGTACTGTATTTTTTTTATGATATGAGAAATGTAATTATTGGGAGGACTATCATGCGGGAAGCAGCTTAGATATTTAACTGTAAACATATATACACACGAAGCTGGTGAGAAGTGCAACATAAACCAGCCCCCAGCCTGCCCAGTTTCGGCAGGCAGCAGGGCGCTCTCCTCACAGCTCCAAGAGGCTGAGCCGGGCAGCGCAAAGCTGGCGAGAAGCTTGCTAGCTTCGCAGCGCCCAGCCCAACCTCTCGGTGCTGTGAGAAGAGCATCCCGCTGCCTGCCGAAACCGGGCAGGCTGGGGGCTGGGCGGCGTTGCACAGGTGACAACATCCCCTCCCCCGGAGCCCACCAAGCCAGATATGTGAAGTAGGCAAGGGCCATTTGCTGGCCACTTCCAGGCGATGGTGCATTTCTTCATTCCTCACAAAGGTGACACCTCCCCAGCTGCGTTTCTTGCCTGTTTTTCTCCCTCCCTCATTTCAAATATTTTCCCGCCACTCTGTTCGGAAGGAAGGAAGGAAGGAAGGAAGGAAGGAAGGAAGGAAGGAAGGAAGGAAGGAAGGAAGGAAGGAAGGAAGGAAGGAAGGAAGGAAGGAAGGAAATTGGAATGAGAGGGAGGGAGGGTCTGAGGGAAATCCTGCCTTAGTCCTGCCCTGCTGCCCTTTCACTATCCCCTTGCCTCCTCCTCCTGGCCTATTCTGGGGATCTCCCATCCTATTGCTAAGGATGCTTTCGTTACAAAGTCTCCATGCATGGAGAGAGAGTGGGCTTCCCTCTGACCCACTCACTTTGCCCTCCTGCACCCACCATGAGCAACCTGGCTAAGGAGAGCAAGCACAGCAGCAGCAGCCTTGAGGAGAGGGTAAGGGCAGCTGGGGGAAGTGGGGGTGGGCCAGGTGCTGCGGGAGCTTGAGAGCCGGGCTGGGCATTTGACCTCTGCTGCCCAGGGCTCCAGGCAGCCCGCGCCACCGTCCAGTCCCCCCCCCGCATGGCCTGAGAAGGATGGTGAGGCTCCTCCAGTGGACCATGCCCTGGCACTCGCTCCAGTCCTACCCCCCTCTGCTGGAGACCCTCGGATCTGCCCCAGTCCTGCCCAAGCCCCTACAGGCACCCCTGATGTGAGCAACATCGAGCTGCCCACACCCACCCATTAGGCCACATCCACCCAGTAGGCCATGCCTGCCTGGCCACACCCACCCATCCTCCCCAGGGCAACCACAATGTTGATGTGGCCCTCAATGAAACTGAGTTTCTGACACCCCTGTTGTAAACCATCAAATCTATTTTGCTAAACAGTCAAGTCTCATTTTCCTAATTATTTCAGAACATTGGAACCTTCGCTTGCTGTATTCACTCAGTTTCATTTTATACATAAAAATGAAATACTGTATATTTTTAAAGCAAAAGATAAACACAACCCTATTAGCTTCTTTTTACAAACATCCATTCCTGGCCTCAGACTACCAATTACTTTTCTGTCAGCATTTGCATATCTTAACATTTTTCCATTGTTCTATATTTCATGAACTTTCTACTAAGGCTTATAGATTAATCTACTTGCTCTAGTTTTCTGGCATATATAGATAAAGCATATATAAAGCATATATAGATAAAGCTCCTCATTGAGGGAGCTAGGTGGTTTAGAAATATGAAATGTGTGTATGGGTGTGTGTTATCATTTACTCAATTTTCCCTGTTGAACACAAGTTTATTTTAGTAGAAGTGGAAAACTTCTTTAAGCTATTAGATTAGCTTTTTCATTGTTGCTGACAGTTTTTTTTTTTGAGAATGTCACTGGGAGAAATTGCTTGTCTCTAACAACTCTTTTTTACCAAATAACTCTTACTAACTTTTACCAAATAATTCTTACTAAAATCATATGCTTATTTGCAGAATAGGATTACTATCTAGGATTACATTGAACGACAGTTCAGTCAAGACCGTAAAATTTTGGATTTTGGCTCGCTAGGGCGTGAGCATACATCTCCCTCTCCCCCGCCACTTTAAGATACACGTGCATCTTCTAACTTCAGACTAGTTTTCTAGGGATTCACATATTCAACAATGAAAACGGAGGGATCACATTTGGGGAGCCATGTCAGATTTGCACTGAAACAAGTCCGTACATGAGCTCCACCAAATGAGGTTTGGAGGATTTTTTTTTTTTTTTCAATGAACCGCCACCCTCTAGTCTAGTGCAGGGGTAGGCAACCTCGGCTCTTTTATGACTCATGGACTTCAACTCCCAGAATTCCTGAGTCAGCATAGCTGACTCAGGAATTCTGGGAGTTGAAGTCCATGAGTCATAAAAGAGCCGAGGTTGCCTACCCCTGGTCTAGTGGGTCACAACCGTTGCGAAGCATTGGAAATTTGTCTTCTGCGATCCCAGCTCGCTCTCTCCCTCTCTCCGAGGAAGATAACACCGAAAGATATTTTACCTGTTCCCGCAGCTCTCGGCCCCGACGCAACGCGCTCTGCAGTGGGCCCCTTCGGCTCCGACGGCCGGGCATTTGTATAGACATTGCCGAAGTTGCTTTGCGCAAAGAGAGCGGCCGCCACGGTCGCTAAGGAGACCAACGCTGCGGCGCTTAACTAACAACGTCATCAATCGGCGTTCCGAAGACCCAAAGCGCGATTTAGGAGAGAATCGCGCTAACGGCGCTACTCGTCTCTGCAGGTATCAAAGCCGAGGGAGCCGGATGTTCCCGGGTAAAGGGAACAGCTGAGGGGGAATTCCCAATTTTGCTGTGCTCTAGTAACAAAAAGAATAGGCGATAAAATACCATTGTTCATTATATTTCTTGTAATTCGATGATTTTAAGAATTCTTAACAGTCCCATCCAAATAGACGCCAAGAATACGGGAAATACGAAAATATGAGTTTACGGTCGGTTTTGTTAAATATATGCCTGGTAGTTCACATCAGCCTATATAATCCTCCGTCCTCCTAATGTAGTAATGTAGTTTTATTCCCCAAATCTCCTAATGAACTTGAATCTGATTCTCTGGAATTCTAGCCCAATACTTATTCAAATCGCATGTCTTTTATTCTGAAACACTCACTTGGACAGGACAAAAAGCAATTACGTATCCAAAAAATGTATACCCCAGCTTTTTACTTGAATGCTCAAGGTGCTTAACAATAAACTGAAACTAAAAAGAAAATTTAACACTTATAAACTTGATAAAATAAACAATTACTTTGTTATTTCAACCTGGGTACAAACATCCCAGAATGAAGGGCTCACCAAACTGAATATATGAGCAGTTAAATTATCTTTTTTCCACCAGATAGGTGTTTACTGTACTCATTCAATTCAGTTGGATTTTAACCTATTAAAACTAATAACAAAAATTTCAGTATGAATCAATTGGTAGGTACATTAACTCTCATGGCTGCACTAGAAAATCAGTTTGTAAGAATTTATAGCAAATTAAGGATTCATCATGCACTGCACAGGTGTCAAACTCACTGCGTCACGTGATGTGTCATGACGTATCGTGATTTTTTTCGCATTGCCAGAGCTGGGGTGGGCGCAGCCTCTACATGATGCAGCCTACCTCCCGGCCGGCAGTTTGACACCCCTGATGTATTGCATCTCAACTCCCATAAGTACCATTTCTAGTCCTTTGTTCCTTTATATCAGGGGTGTCAAACTGCCGGCCCATGGGCCGGACACATCATGCGGAAGCCGCGCCCACCCCATTGCCGGCAATGGCAAAACAGTCCCGATACATCGCGCAATGTCATGTGATGTCGCGAGTTTGACATGTCTGCTTTATATAGTTGATTAGGCAGATTGTTTCTTATAAAATATCACACCAAAATAAATAGTTCAGATTTAAAATCACATTCAATATAAGGTTTAGCTTACACATTGTTCTAGGCTTCAATATGATTTATTAAATAAGCCATGTGTGGCTTCACATAATACAGTAAGCCCAAACAAACCACACTATGTCTATGGAGATTCTCAGTCATCCAGGTCATGGTTGTCCCAAAGGAGCTTTTTTAAGAGGCAACTGGACTTACTTATTTTTTTTGAAGATGTTTGCTTCTCATCCAAGAAGCTTCTTCAGCTCTGACTGGATGATGAGAAATGGTTCATGTTGGGCAGAGAGAACCACTGGTTTGAAATAGGGGTCAAAGAGGCCATCTATGTCAAAATTGAACAGCCCTCTCTAAATAGAAGGGGAGGGATAAGATTTCATTTATCTCCAGTCTACAACACAGTCTTTTCAACAGTTCCAAGAAGGCTCCACACCTATTTGCACTACTCAGGTGATCTTGAGGACACAGATAAACTTCCAAGTGGCCTCAATTACTCTCTAAAAAGTGTAAATGACCAGTTGTCTGCAAGAAATATAAATCTTTCCATTCCCCACCATCCAGTCAGAACTTAAGAAGTTTCTTGGATGAGAAGCAAAACATCTTCAAAGAAAAACAAGAAAGTCCAGTTGCCTCTTGAAAAAGCACCTTTGGGAAAATCACATTATGGTTTAGCATGTTGTGTGAATCAGGCCAATAAATTTAGGACCAACCTTTAATGTTTATAAATGATCATATTAGGATATAAAATAATTATGCTTGTTTTCATTTTCATAGTCAAAATAAAGAACTTAAAAAAACACAGAATATATTGCATTGCACATGGTGTTTATTTTCTTATATTTAAACTAGGTTGGGAAGATCCACTTCATAAAACATCCTTAAGTTATTAGCCGTCCAATAGGGAATGTTAAGCTGTTCATACAGATAAGTTTCAACAGATAGATGACATCTTTCTGCAGATGCTAAACTGTTTTGTAAATATCAGTCCCATGGAAGATGGTAATTCCATAGATATCTCCAAACCAAGTTTATGCATGAGGATTTTTTTTTAAGAAATCCATTAATATCCATCAAATATGGAAATTTTTGATTGTAGTTCATTTTGAGGCTTCTATTTGTATTCAGCTGTTGAAAGGTAGAAAAAAATGAAAATCAGTTCCATATAATTGTTAAAGTTTTCTCAAAATTTAAAATAGAAAAGTGCAAGTTAAAATATATAGCAAAGGATGCAATTTTAGTATTTGAGTGGAAACAGCATTAAGGAAATCAGGCACAGTTCCATCCACTGAGAAGTTTGTTGACTTTGGTACAACTGTCAACTGAAATGTTGTAGGAATCCTGACAAAATGTCTATATATAAAGTATTTAAACTGAGAAACAAATCCCTGAATTTAAAAATCAGCATATTTTCAATAGAAAAACAAAAAATATTGTTTAATTAAAAATAGGCCTGTAATATGTTCATCTGCTCTGAAAAAACAAACGCCATGAATTTCCAGACTGTTAAATTATTGCAAAATATGTAGTTTGAGGTAACTACCTTTTTCCCTTCCCAAAGGTCTCCCAGAACACTTAACATTCAGTAAGCAAAAATTATACAGAAACCGGTCTTCTTCTCTCCCTAAAATAAGGTGTGCTTGAATTCCTCAGGATCTACAACCAGTATTAAAACACAAAAGCCCTTCAAGGAAAAGGGTACGCATTTAAACATTAATTAAGGCTTTGTGCCTTTATTTTGATACAAAGAGTCATAAATGGTTAGTTGGTTATTTATTTTTTATTTTTTTAAAAAGCAAAGTAAAACAGCAAAAATTTAAGCGTGCTAATTTTGTGGCCTGCTTCTCTTTATACCAGCTTTGAAAAACGCAGGAATCCCCACCGCTTGATCCTTTCATTACCCCAGCCTAGGGTTAAAAGGCCAGAGGCAAACGAGCGTTTTGTCATAAAAGAGCGCTGCCGGTCAGTACGAGCCCTCTCGGTCAGCATGTCCCCCTCCCGGTCACCGTTCTTGGGCTATTGCAGCCGCTTCCTCACCGCTTCACGCGAGTTCTAACTTATTCTGCGTGGCTGCTAGCTGGTCCTGCAGCCGTCGCTTCCGCCACTTGAGGTAATACCTCCGCGCTCTGTTCGCCTGCCATCCCACCACCACTCCCGAAGCGAAGGCTAGCAACACCGCTAGCTTTACAGAGCGATCTGACAGCGGCTCCGAGCTCAGCGCCATTGCCGTTCCCCTTCAATCTGGTATGGCGCCCACTAGAGGACAATCTACTTTTATCTCGCTCTCGCGCCGAGGGAAAAAGGAGCTAAGAATGTTCTTGGCGCAGCAACTAGCGCAGGGGTAGGCAACCTCGGCTCTTTTATGACTCGTGGACTTCAACTCCCAGAATTCCTGAGTCAGCTATGCTGACTCAGGAATTCTGGGAGTTGAAGTCCACGAGTCATAAAAGAGCCGAGGTTGCCTACCCCTGCGCTAGCGGCTTATCCTTGACGCGGACAATTCCTATCGAAATCAGTGAGGTTTCCCTTTGAGTAAGCAAAATTACGCGTACTGTAACACACTCAGCAACGCATCGCTTTAAATCGGTGTTTTTCAAACTTGGCAACTTAAAAGGTGTGTGGACTTTAACTCCCAGAGTTCTCCAATTAGCCTGCTGGTTAGGGAATTCTGGGAATTCAAGTCCACACATCTTAATCTTGTTGAGTTTGAAAAGCACTAATTTAAATATAGCATGATTGCTTCAGCATGTTGTAGCTTGAAATGTGAATCCAAATAGTGATTTATAAACCACAATTTGATAAAGGATAGGCATTGTGTTGTTGGTCACCAATGCATGTGCTGTTTGGTGCCAACTGTCTGATCCCTCTTAATTTTTTCCCCAAATAAATATTACCTTACATTAGAAATCAGCCGGCTGCAAAACAAAGTACCAGCCTATAGCCTACTTATTTATGAAAATACTTTCAAACTTATAAAGATCCCTATGTGATGATAGAAAAAAATCTGGAAGCTATTTGTCTGGGACTGACTGTGGCAGCTATCTTGCAAATAAACAAGTCACAATATATTATATTGCAATTATATTATGCCCACTATGTACTTTCAAAACCCCAAATGTATCCACAATTCAAAACTCATCATTTTATGGCTCATCATTTTATGTGAATCCAGCATTTGGGAGTTGTCGACAAACCAGAATTTGTTAATCATGGCTTAGCACAATGTCTCAAAGAAGAGGAATTTGAAAAATGATCGAATGGGTTGATTAAGTTTGTTGGAATTTATATCTGAGAAAATATGTCCAAGTTGCATCACTTCATAGCAAGAATGTATTGGTGTAAAAGTTGGTCAACTTTTCTTGATTTCATGAACATGTTTTTGCAATTTATTTGCAATAATATAGAAGTGGTCTGTCTTTGCTTTCTTCCAGAATATCTTTTAGACTCCCCAATGTAACCTATGACTCTATTTTTCTCTGATATTTCTCCCACCAAATCTTAACCCAAACCTACCCGGCTTAACAAGGTCAGCTGGCGCTGCTATCTTTTGAACTATGAACCCAATTTAAACCCTGTTTGAGTAAGTTTAACATAACTGCAGTGAGTGTGAACTATAAAAAAAATCATTTTTTTTCTAAAGCAGATCTGAAAAGTTTTGAAACTGTTTCAAGCCAGTTCCAACTTACTTCCAGTGAAAAAACTCTCCAAAAGCATGAGACTTACTGAAAACTTTTTCATATACTTGCAATGTTCTAGAAGAGACGAGAGACAGAGACGAATAAAGCAGAACTCAGAGGCTTGCAAATTCCTCAAAGAACATGTTTATTAGTTACAAAGTATTGGCATGTCAAAAGTGAAACCAAATCTGGAGACACACCTAACAATTCCCCAATACAAAATTAAAAAATCCCACCCCTAAAACTATGCAAGCAACTATGTTCCCCAATACATCTACTTGGCAGTCTTTTTAGGCAACGCCCAGCCTGCCGTCTCAGGAGCAGTCAGTGACCTTGGTTCCCAAGGGACAAAAGATTATTTTGACTAGCAGAGCACCTGGGCAACCCCCCCCTCCATTCTATGTGGCAATCAAAAAATGAGTAGGAAAAATGACTGCAGACATGCTCATTTGTAGAGTTGACATAGAGATTGGAATTGCTTCTACAGTCAGAGCTGTTTTATACTGCTGACATGTGCACCCTTTTCCTACAAATTATGACTACCAACTTTCCTCAGATTGACGACATACAGATGTTTTGTGTCAATCTAACTTTTCTAAATAGACCCAAGTTGGATAAGACCAGTATACCATTCAAACTGGCCATGTTCATTATGACTAGTTATTTCTTTTCCCTTAAATCTTATTTGCAGTATTATAGATAAATCTAATCCTATGCAATTTACTTTAATTTGATGAATTTGATAGAAATCCTGAATACATAAATAGACTAAATTCAGATTGTGATTTCTCACTGAGTTTAGAGACTAATCAACCATATTTTGCCTAATGTGTTGTGCAAATCCAATCCATATGGTTAATTTATGGTTCAATGTGACATGCAAACTCAGAAAATTAGATTTACAACTTATTATGTAAGATGTGGGTAAATGGTCCTGTAACCACAGCTGTTCAATTTTTCTAAACATTTTGGTGCACTGGATGCTTGGCCTCACCTTGCAATAATAGTTTTTCTCCCTACCACAATAGATAACTTATCTAAATGAATTTAAGAGTATTAATTTTTAGCCTTCAACCCTATAATTCTTAGATCAGTTGAATAAGATCAGGAATAATCTACAGTAATCAGGAAGAGGGGGGTCTACTCTCTTTAAATACAAATGAGTAACATTTTGGTACTATTCCTATGTATCTCCTGTGTTCTGGTCTCATGCAGATAAAATGCTTCCTCAGCATTCCCAAAGTACTCCATGGAGAATTAACATTATACTCACTGCAAGTCAAACTTCCTTTTTTGAGAAAGCCAAGTCCCTCCAATGGCAAAGAAATAAAACAGGGAACTGCAGCCAAGCACTAACCACAGCGTCCAAAAATTTCCAACTCTGCAGCTATCTTATGTCTTTGAAAACAGCCAACCACCTATGCATGCAACCATGTGTAAGGAAGC